GTGTACTTTTGACAATTTACATATTCATGTTAGTTTATAATATATTATCGATTTACAAAACTAGGAGAACATTAAAATATGTTTTTCGCCACAAACACAATGAGTAAAAAAAAAAAAACTTATTATATTTGTTTCATTCAAAACACAGTAAAGTACATGATAGTAAGTATAGTAAAGTATATACTAGATTCGTAGATATTCAACAATTTTATTTATTTTTTAATAAACCAAAACATAGAAAGAAATTTAAAAATCTAAGAAGAACCATAGAAGTGAATAACAATTGGAGTACATACAAGCATATACGTTAAATTTATATTTCTAAATTCAACAAACATAATGATATGGTTTTTTACACGATCAACAATAGAAAATGTAAATTTTTGAAATTAATTGACGATTTAATATGATATATTAGATTAATAAAATATTGAGTATTCGTCTATAAACTTAATTAAATCTCTATTTTAGGGGGGGCAGTCTTGAAATTTGTATTAGCTAAATAAATCAGCATCCAACACTTTTTAGACTATAGCCTGTACATCAAATAAAAAATAAATTAACTCAAATATCCATCAATTATTGCGTTCATTATCAAACGATTGATGGAATTGGACTTAAATGCCCATACTTATTACTAGGGAACGGATTTATATGTAAATACATATTTTTATTAAAACGAGATATTTCAAATTTGATAAGAAATGTTCATGATTTAAATCATTCCTATTAATATGATGCTACTTTTATTTTACATATTTTTAAATATTTTGGTATAATTACATATTTTTACATATTTCACTAATTTGTAAATATTTTTAAACATATTTTATTATTTCATCATTTATACGTCTTCTTCGTACAAAAATACAAGAAATTATTTCAAATTTAGATCCAGAACTTCTATCACTATTAGAAAAGCTCAAAATATTATGCAAAATGAAACATTGAAAAATAATTTAATTTTCATCTCAGAGAATTTTAGTTTTATTGCACATACATTTACAAAATTAGAAACAAAAATATGTCCTTGAATGAAAGTATGCAAATTGTCGAATCAACGATTACAAAATGAAAACTCGTAAACGGACCAATAGGAGAAGTAGTAAAAAAGGAAATTCATGTTTTTACAGAAAAAAATTTCAGGCCATATTGATTTTAAATCAATCAATGACATAATGAGTGGCAGACACTCTTCTAAAAATTTGGAATTATCGCCTTCTAATATTATGCCCTTCAAATAAGCTTAAATCAACCGACGTAAGTTGATGTGGAACGATCATTTAGCCGTTTTAAAAATATTTTCAGATCTAATAGGCGACATTTAATATTTGATAATTTAAAATATATTGTAATAATTCAATGCAACAAATCATTTTGATAATTTAATAATTGTAATTTGTTTTTTTTAATTAAATTTTTTTCCTACAAATTTGGATGGTTTTAGTACATATTTTATAAATTATACTTACATACATATGTACATATTTATGTATTTTTAGTATATATAAATCCGTCCCCTACTTATTACAGAATTATAGCTGGTCATTATTATAATATATTATATTTATAGAAACTTGTTATCTTGATGATATAAAATTTCTTTGTTTATAATACGTTGTATATAAGATATCTACATCGAGATTTATAATGAATAGAGTGTAGATTTGTATGTATTTACATATTTGTTGCAAATAATAATATTCGAATGATTCATTTATAGAAATATGTTCTATGACTATCCGATTATTTTAATCTATGGTTTTGATATTACATATTTTTACATATTTGATCTTAAATACTTATTTTTACATAATTTACTTATATTACATAGTTTTGTTAAATATTCAGCTATTTACAAAATTAGTACTGTATCGCCGTTTTATATTATGTGTTATCTTCTCCAGTCCGTCCGTGTGCTAATAATAGTCACGAGTTGCAACTCTCCATAGTCCACATCATGCAATCATATATGGCTAAAAGTTATGGGTATTTAATCATGGCAAAGCTTAATATTGTACAATGTACATATTTATACATTTTACGTTATCGGCGTTATCGCATATTATCGACAGTGTGCTGCAATGCTGTACGCGTTGCGATAAAAGTATATTTAATTTCATTATTTGTCGTAGAACCGTTAGAGAAGTGTCTTCGTGTTTTTTGTATTTGTTGTGTCTTTTTAGTTTTTAAATAATACTGTGTTTAGTTAAAAAGGCCGAAAATTGCTTCTAAAAAAAGAGACCTCATACCTAACCACGTACGAGGTACGTGCAGGATTTTCCGGACGAAATGTTTTGTAGTGATTTAAATATTTTGTACTATAATGCATGTGATAAAGCCGTATCAACTACTCAGCGCTTTCAAGTTACACAACACATAGGTATTAATTGAAATTCACAAAGAAAATAAACAGCGAAAGACAAAAAAAGTACAACAATTCATATCCTCGTGCACTTTACCGACCAATAAATTGATTTTCAACAGTGACTTATGCACAGTTTTCATTAAAGCAGATATACCATTGCAAAAACTCGATAATCTTAGTTTTCGTCAATTTTTCGGAAAATACATAAGCAGTAAAATACCTGTTGCAAGTACTCTGAGGAAATATTATTTACCTAACTTGTACGAGAAAACCTAAATGATATCAGAAAATATATTTCAAGTGGACCAATTTGGATTTCTATGAAACAACCGATGTAGAAGGAAGGTATGTAGGAAATATTATATTTGGTAAATTGAATTCGGATTGTGCTTCAAAGCCATATTTATTAAATACTGAAGTACTTGAAAAATGTAATTATTTTATGTTTATTATTATTTATGTAATCACTCAACAGTAGCTCGTTTTGTCAACGATTCTTTGTGTATCCTTTGGCCAAATGATATTTTTCATGAAAAAGTACTCTTATTTATGTCAGACGCAGCACCCTATATGGGGAAAGCTGGAACTGCTTTAAATGTATTTTATCCAAAATTAAAATAGAATTTGTTTCAGTTGAAAATGCGAACAATTTAATTAAATACTTTTAATTAAAGTAATACACTTTAATTTTGTATGATTCTTCATTAAAGAATAATTTAGTGTACATATCCTTCAATACTACATTTCTTGCCAATCCTATTACAAAACTTGAATCTCAAAACTTGTCTCTGACTGATAGCCTGGGTATTGTCTCTGACGCCGTAAAAAATTGAAAGAAGCCCCCGGAGAAGTCAGAATAAAAATCAAAAAAAAAAAAAAAAGTGAACAATTACTCAGTAAAAACCCAGGTTTAAAAATAATTGAAGCGATTGCAAATATTCGCAACGGCAGCGATACATAAACTTAATTTGAATTTAGGCTTTAAATTTGCTCCTATAGGAGCAATTTAACACATTTTACAATTAACAAAATTATGCAAATCCTTTATATATTTTGACTTAAATAATAGCATTGATAATAAAATAGACTATTTTATAATCAATGATACTAGGTATTCAATACTAGCTCTTTATATTTCAAACTTGCAAAATTTGTAAATTTTCATCTAGACATCGCAGACAATTTCGGGGGGGGGGCACAACCCCTTAACCCCCCTTGCGTGCATCACTGGCATGCACTAAGTTCTCATAAGATGAAATTCTTTTTGCTTTAATAATATTTACCTTTAGACACGACGAAAGAAAAAAACAAATTGTAAGAAATCAATTTTATTTTGCCATAATATGAAAACAATTTGACATAATACACTTAAGATATAAAGGTGATAAAAAGTTAATACACACAAGACAAACCAGCAGGTAGTATATATTAATATATTAATTATATAAGAAAACCAATTATTACTGTTGTTCAAAATTTCATTTTCAAAATAATTAACCTTACAATTAAGTTATAGATCATTAATTAAGTACAATTTATTCATAATTTAATGCATTAAAATTGTTATTATCAGAGTGGTTTTTTTAGTATACATTTTTCAATATTTAGATTATAACACTGACATTCATGTTTGAATTAGTTATACAATACTACGGATACTAATAATACTAATAATACTAATAATTAACAGTATGTTAATGTTCTGAGTGGTTTTTTTTTAGTAAACATTTTTCAACATATAAATTGTAACACTGACATTCATGTATACAAATAGAGAAATAAATATTCGGTGTCATATATACCGATCAAACTGTACGTTTATGTTTGAATTAGTTATACAATAATATGGATACTTATAATATAATAATACTAATAATTAATAATATGTTTATGTTCTAAGTGGTTTTTTAAGTAAATATTTTTCAACATATAGATTGTAACACTGACATTCATGTATACAAATA